GTTCAGTCTCCAGCCTTGGTGGAGACTGAACAAGTGGTTAAATGAAAAATTTGCAAATTGTGTCAATTTTCTTATCTGATTAATCGTCAAAACAGTCGATAGAATAATCGATTATTAAAGTAGTTGCCAGTTCCAGCTCTAACATATTGATAATGGGGTAATGGTGCAAATTTTCCTTCTCAAAGACGAATAAACTGTAAAATGTCTTTGAGTCCCAGTGTGAGGTGTTCTTTACTAAATTAAATATACTATAAATAAAACAACCAATAATATTAAATACAATAGAAAACAAAGCAAAACCATAAATAAAACTGATTATGAAGTAAATGTCTGTAATAATCAGAATGGAAATTATTCTTCTCATTTTAGTTTATTATGCAAATGATTTAATTGCTTTTTGCAACAGGCCGACACGTTTCTAAGGAAAAAGATAAGAGCCACAGGGGGAAAAAACAATTCTCAATTTTCTCAAATTCTAACTTAAATCTCAGAATTTAAACTTTTTTTTGTCAGAATTTCAGATTTTAATCCCAGAATTCGGATTTTAACTTCCTGAGATCAAAAGTCAGTATTGATTTTTTATTTCTAATTCCCATGGAATATGAAGCAAATCCCTGAGCAGGAGAGAGCGTGTGCATGACTTCCTGTTTGCTGTCAGGTGACATTAGAAACCTCCTGTCCTCCTGTTGCCTAGGTAACGGCCCCTCCGGGATCTGCCTGTCTTACCTGCTGTCAGGCTACGCCCCCTACCTGTCGGCAGAGGGATGTCACCCGAACCCCCTGCTGAACAGCAAGCTGTCGGAGCGGCCTCACCTGTCGCTGCTGGAGCAGGTAACCCGGCCCGTTCCGCCGTGACGTCCGCGTTGGTTCGGGCCGTCTCTGAACCGAGCCTCTCTGCAGGACCTGGAGTATCTCTGTGAGGGCCTGGAGGGCCGCTCATCCAACCCTGTGGCGGTGCTTTTTGATTCGCTGCTGCTGCCGGACAGCGACTTCGGTCTGGACCACACGTCACCCCTGGAGTGGCGGTACGAGCCGGAGCGAGCCGTTCCCCACCTGGTTCTGGGGAAAGGCCCGCCTGGAGGCGCCTGGCATGTAAGGCCCACAGTCATGACATTGTTTTCATTGAGGTTTTTATTTTGTTGTGACTTTTAGTCTAATTCAGTTAGTTTCAGTCTCTGTTGTTTGTTTTTGCTCGTTCCAGGCCATGGAGGGATCCATGCTGACGCTCAGCCTCGCCAACTGGATGGAGCTTCCTGGGCTCAAGCTGAAGGACTGGATGAGAGACAAGCGCAGGTTCGACCCGCTTTAAAAAACACGTTTGGTAGGCAGACATGGGGAGTAACTAGTTACATTTACTTGAGTAACTTCTTTGGGGAAAATGACTTACTTTTACTTGAGTTGTTTTATTATAAAGTATCTCTACTCTTAATTTAGTAGCATTTCTGGATTTTCTTCCTACTGAATGAAGAACAAACATGTTTTAACCAAAAGTTCACCAGACACAGCTGCAGCTTTTATTAGTTTAATACTGAACACATTTTTCTTTTGCCCAATTTCGTTATTTTGATGATGGAATATTAAGGCCACTCTAAGAAAATGGAAAAAAAAAAAGAATAAAGTCATAAAATTACGACTTCAAATTATTATGACTTTATTCTCCTAATATTCTGAATGTATTCTCATAATTATGACCTTGTTTTTATTTTAGTAAAGCCTTTATATTCGTTACTTGAATAGTAATGAATTGTTTTAATTTTGATCCTTAACAAACTAAGTTTTCCATGTAACTTTATATTTTGATCTATTTGATGATGTAACTTTTATTTACAAAATGTTTTGATCAGTTACTCAGTACGTCAGTCGCCTTTTTACCAAATACTTGTTTATGCTTCAGTAATGTCTTGAACAGCTACTTTTTGCTTTTACTTGAGTAAAAATATGTTAACGTTGTGCTTCAAGATAGATAAATCTAAAAATATATGTGTGTATATTTTAGAAATGTTTTTTAAATATTAAATTTACAAAGATGAACTTTTAAATCAGCTCTTATCGTTGTGGCTAACCTTGATTATCTTTTTTACGTCCAAATGTATGACTGGTTTAAAGATGGTTTGCTTTGAATTTTGAACCTTTTATTAAGTTGTGTTAAAGTATAAAACTTGGATGAATCTTTGTGTTAATTTACAGGTTAAAGAAATTGGCTGAATGACGTTTCGGTACCTGATATCGGCTCTTTAGCCTCCGTCTGTTGCTACGTTGCTAAATGTTTACGTTTTTTTGTGGCAGGAATGTGAGAAACGACCGCGCCACCCCGGCAGAAATCGCCTCGTACTATCAGCACTACGTATCCAAGATGAACCTGGAGCAGAACTTCGCCTGTGGGACCACCGTTACCACGGTAACCAGAGAGTCCGGTCAGCAGGATGGGTCGCCGCCCTGCTGGAAAGTGTCAGGACTGCAGCGGAGAGACGGCGAAATTCTAGGAGGTACGTTTAAAACAAAAAAAACCCCAAAGTAAATCTAAACTTTTATGTTGTTTTATGTTGTAATAAAGTCATTTTTCATGATTTGTTTTCTTGCTGTAGACGGTTGCTCGGTTACAGAGGAGGTGCCATTCTCGCTGTTGGCGCATAACGTGGTTCTGGCAACGGGAACGCACGACGTGCCGGCTCGGCTCGGCGTGGACGGAGAGTCGCTGCCCTTCATCTGCCACTCCTTCTGGGAGCTGGAGGCGGCCATCGCCCGCGGCGAGCTCGACCAATCCTCCGACCCTGTGCTGGTGGTGGGGGCGGGGCTTACGGCCGCCGACGCCATCCTCGCCGCTCACCACCTCAACACGTCGGTGTGCCACGCTTTCCGGCGCTCGGTCACGGACCCCGGGCTCATCTTCAACCAGCTGCCCAAATTGCTCTACCCAGAGTACCACAAGGTGAGGCGGGTTCTGCAGACTCAAAGTGGGCGTTTCCACTGCGTAAACTCTGATTGGCTAATTCCAGCAGCAGAGATTGTTTCTAAACATATAGAAATCATCTGCTGCGACTGGTTTAACGATAAAATAAGAACTTCAGAATTGTCTTTGAACAATTGAAAAAATAATGGTTTAGTACCATTATTTTTTCAATTGTATATATTGCATATATGTTTTCAATTGTACAATTTTTTTTTTGTTTTCTTAGAAAAAACGACAACATTTTTGACTTTTGAACTTAGAAAATTTCCAAGGTTTTTCTAGGAAATTTCTGAGATTAATTTCAACATTTGAGTTTTTTTCTAGCAAATTTTTGACTTTTCAAACTCAGAAATTTTCTTAAAAAAAAAAAAAACTTAAAATATTAGATTAATCTCAAAATTTCAAATAGTTTTTAGATTTTTAAGTGTCAAAAATAACAAATTTACTAAAAATAAATCTTAGAAATTTTATAGAAAACTTGGAAATTTCTGTTGGACTTCGAGTTTCACACTCCAAACATTTCCAAAACCTGAAACTTTACTTTTACTTTTGAAACTCTTGAGTTTTTTTTTCTAGAAAATTTCTGAAGTTGATCTCAAAACAGTTTGTTTACTTTTCTGAGTAACTATCAACATTTATTTAAAAAAAATTTGTAAATTTGATTTCGTCCAATCAGGACCTTCACATGCTCGTTCAATCGTGTTGCTCTTGACTTTCTGTCCAATCGGGTCCGGTTCTGAGGGTCGGTTTGTTGGTTGATCTGGATCTGATCTCCGCTCTTTTCCAGGTCCATCAGATGATGATTCAGCAGCAGCACCAGTCTGACTCTTCGGACCGGATCCAGAATCTTCAGCCCGCTCCTTCCTCCTCCTCCAGCTTGCCTTCCTCCTACCCCGGCTACCTGAGCTTTCCCTGCCACCGGGTCGCCGCCTTCCGGCCCGACCATAAGTGCGTCCTGGAGTCAGACTCCGGTGAACAGACGGTGGTCCGGGTCTCCAAGGCGCTGGTTCTGATTGGCGCTCATCCGAACCTCTCCTTCCTTCGCGACAACGGCCGCTCGTTAGGCATCAACCGTGACGAGCCGATTTCCTGCCGGAGGAACCCGATCGACGTGGATCCGTTCACAAACATGGTTCTGGCGGCGGACGGGCCGGGAATGTACGCCATGGGCCCGCTGGTCGGGGAGAACTTTGTCCGGTTCCTGAAAGGCGGGGCACTGGCCATCGCTGGGGATCTGTGGAAGCGGCGCAGCGGCGGGGAGGACGCCGTTATGCCAGACAGCCGGGTCGACCGCCGGACAGACGCCCGGGTTCTGGACTCGTAGTTCAGAACCACGAGGCGAACGGACCGACTCCGGAAAACCCGAGTTCAGCCGGACCTGTTCTGGGATCAGCTGGAGAAATGGCAGCTGGACGTTTCTGTTTGGACCCAATTTGTAACCAGATACCAGAACCGTTTTCTGTAAATTTTATGGTAATCCGTTTTTTACTGGAAATATTTAAGTTTCTTCCAAGTTTTCAAATTATTTAAACGTTTAGGATCTGTTGCTAACGGCGACGTTTTAGGGCCAGAACAAGAGAACAAAATTTTAATTGCAAAAATAAAGTTATGCGATTTAAAGTCACACAAGAAATTCAAAATGAGAATAAAGTTGTAATTAAGCCACAGTTATCAAAAAGAGTTAATACGAGAACAGCCATATTTACGAGAATAAAGGAGCAACAATATGTAAAAGATGCATCAAAATTAAATATAAAAATAAAGATAGATAAAGTTGTGGTAATACATGGATAAAATTGTTCTCAAAACTAAATTTGTCTGGCCCTAATTTTGCATTTAAGCCACTAATCTGTTAAATTTCTGTTTTTATATCACTTTATTATATCTGTTGCATTTTATTTCATGTTTAATCTTGTAACCTAATGTTTGCTTTCTAAAAAGTGTTTCCTATTTATTGATTTTACTACGCAGCAATTAGTAAAAAAAAGTTCTATTCTAATTTTTTCAGTCTATTAAAGGTGTTAGTTTAGTTAAATCAAGCCATAAGAATAACTTAAAAAATCAAAATTTTTATACTTCATTTTTCATCCTCTGATATTTTTTCTTATTTTCAAATGTTATTTACACCTTTTTGTACTGAAGCAATAATCAGCAGTAAGGTTCAACTGAACATATATTTACATCCAAAACGTGCTATAGCATTTTTTAAATTAATATTTATTTACAGTTTCCTTTGGGATCTGTGGTCCATTATCAGATTTATTTTAAACTAAATGTCATAATTTATTTTTCAATTAAAGTAAACCATATTTAAGATTTTATAACAAAAATGTGTTTTACTAATTTCCATCTCCTATAAGAAAAATATTTTAATATTTCTTAATTTGATGTTGAATTATCCTTTTTTAGCTTTTTTTAATGCTTCAGTAGATTTTGTGTAAATGTTGACAGAATTCAGTTTAAGTGCCTTAAAACTTCATTGGATTCTTACAGAATCGTTTCCATTTGTCTCATTGTTGTGCAGATAAATCCAGACCTTCTCTGTCTGCAGGTGCTGTTTATAATAAACAGGAAGGTTTGTTCCTGGAAATGTCTCATCTGTGTTCATTTCTATTAAAGTTTGAGTTTAGCAGAAAACTTATCTGTGCAATTTATCATGTATTTACAGTATATAAACAGTGGCATTTGTCCCTCCTTTTCTGAGAAAAGTCAATTCAGTGGCCCTAATCATCTTCCCGAAATATGTCCAGTCATAATAGTCATAAAGCTATTCCAGACATCCGGAGTCTACTTGCTGTGAAGCCGATTTTATGCTTTAACAGCCTGCCACAGAGGTTTACCTGGAAAAAGAATGACGACACGAGGCAAAAGCTTCTGGAAAGATTTAATCTCACGTACTTTTCACTTTTCTAACAAACAGTCAGGATGATGTCAGATGCAAAAAGAAAAAAGAAAAGATCAAGTCCCATCAATCTGAAGCTAACAACCATGAGGATCGGAGGTAAAAGCGGGCCGTCGGTCGGTTAACGGCTGTAACGTTTGACGTGGCGCGGAAAACGGTCTCAAACAGGAGGGACGTCGATGAGCATGCAGGTTTATTTATTTTATTTCTTAACCGGCTCTGTCGATGTAAGAGTGAAACAAACCAACAATCAAAGAACACACACAGACACGTTTAACAGTTTTCCCCACCGGAACCGCAGGACCAAAGCAAGGCAGCAGAGCCGAATTAGCTCCAATAATAATACTGCTTCTATTCTCTCCTCCTAACAACATCTTTACATTTGTACACTTTTAAAGGTGGGGGATAAAACACGTACCCGTATCTGTGGGTAAAGGTACAATAAAAAAATAAATTATCACCTTAATAAACCAAAAATAAAATATAATATTTGCTCTGTTTGGTTCCTGCTCCTGAGGCTGAGTACCTGTTGCTGTCCAGCAGGGGGCGGTGTCGCGCTTCGGCCAGCCTCAGCCTCAGGCGGAGGAAGATCAACGAATCTGATTGGCTAACCACTCCAAACCAGCCAAAGACACGGACACGTTATTGCCACTACTGCCGACAGATACAGGACTCTAACATAGATTTATATATAAATATAAACTTCTATATTTTGAGGCAGGGCTGCGTGATCATTCAACACCAGCGAAACGTTCAAAAGGAATTTAATTAATTTATTTTTTGGTCTCATTTCCCATTTCTATCAGAAAAATATTATATAACCGAGCCCTGACAGTTGAGGGTGGTGTTACTCTTCTTTTTAATCAGTGCCGTTAACAAATCCCATGGAAAGGCGCCATGTTGGCCTTAAGAGTCAGGTGCTTCACAGCTCATTTGAAATGCGAGGACCTTCACAAAAAAAAAAAAAAAAAAAAAAAAATTCACTTCCTTTCTGACAACATACAAACTGAGCTGCATCAGTGCATTCATGTCGGGCTTTTTTCCATGAGATCCGCTAATAGCAAAAAAACATCTGGACACCACTGAACCAGATCTTAAAGTGACATTTATGCTTCAAATATTACAAATGAGCTTCACAGGACACAGGCCACGTTAGATTTCTGATTAATACCTAATGTTTTAAAATAAAACGGTTACCTTTCCCTCTGGGTGCCTGTTTCTGCTGCACTGCATTGCCAATTTCCCTTCCATGGGGCGCCACTGCGCTCTTCCAGAACCACCTGTTGCTTCGCCAGGTGCGTCTCTTAGTGCGTTTTTTTATTTTTTTTTTAATTTTTTGTCTTCTTCGGGCCAATATGGTTAGAAAAAAAGAAACAAGTAGATTTCTGCCAAAAAAAAATAAAAAAAAAAAAAATCAGAATTTTGAGATTAACATCAGAAATTATATAGAAAAAACTGAATTTCAAAAGTCAAAATTTTTCCACTTTTTTACTTTTGAAATTTGGAGTTTCAAAAGTTAAAAAATGTTGCAAATTTGGTTCGGAGAAAGTGGAAAATTTTCCAAAATGTTTTCAAGAAAAAATTCTGATTTTTATCCTTGCACTTTTTAGACTTTTGGAGATCAGAAACTTCTGAAATTACTCTCTAAATGTCTGAGTTTCTCACTGGACATTTAGTCCTTTTTTGGCCCTGATTTGCCGTTGTGGGTTTCGGTTTCGAAGGAGCCAGGAGGAGGAGCTGCGCTGGGATTGGAGCTGATTGGCCAGTGGACGTTTCGTCCAACCACAACGTTCCCAGGATATGATTGAGTCCGACCAACAGGACGAGAAAATCCTCTGAAGTTTGAGCTTCCCTTAAAGATATGCTTTAATCTAGAAAAACACTCCCCCTAGTGGCCACACTGGCTCCCTACTTCTGCCAGCCCACGGGTTGCAGTCGCAGCTTTTTTTAATATATTTATGCACAATTAAAACCCTTCTCTGTAGTTTCAGCTGCTGTTTGTAACTTTTTATCAGAACCGGCACCGTTCTGGATTAAAGCAGTTAAAATCCCCTCAGGATGGCGGCGGGCCACCTGCTGTGATGTCACCGCCGCTCTGTGGTTAGGCATTGATGTGTGATGGGTGAGGGAACGCTTTAAACCACCAAGGTCCTCATAAGGAGACGTCATAGTTTGGTGTGCGGCCAGTTTGGCGGCGCCTTCCCGTCTCCTCAGTGCGGTCCGACCTGAATGGACTCACAGTAAGAGGTGTGTGTGTGTGTGTGTGTGTGTGTGTTTGCTTAAAGACCGATCAGTCTCTAGAGTGGGAGGACTTTTTTTGTTGTTTTTTTGAACAGAACCGAGCCGGTTTGGTCCAACAGAACCGCACGGGAGCCTCTGGAGCTACGGCAGGTTCTCGTCTCGAAGGCTCTCTAGAATCTGGATCAGGCTCTCCAGTCCAAACACGTAGCCCGGGTCCGGGCCGTTGTGCACAGCCGTGTCGCCGCGGAAACCCTTGAAGGTGGAGTGGGCGAAGTCAATCATGCGAACGTCCACCAGAGGGGGCTGCTGAGGAGGCTGAGGAGGTGGCGGTGGAGGAGAAGGACATTTTGACGGGGGGCACGGCACGAAGGGGCAGCAGTCCGTCACGATGGGCGGGAAGGGAGAGGGGGGGGCGTCTGGCGCCGAATGTCCGGGTCCCTGAGAGGACAGAGGCTCCAGGACCAAGTCCTGGTCCTGGTTCTGGTTGAAGTCCGTTTCACTGGAAGTGTTGGAGTGAGGAGAGGGAGCGGCATGGAGCTCTGCAGGGGTGGCGCTCTGCCCAGGGCCGGGCACCAGGGCGGCTTCAGACCCCTGCAGCAGAACAAGAAGAGTCGGTCAACCAGGTCCGAAACGGTCCGGTTTATAAACTAACAGAACCAGGAAGTTTTCACACCTGATAGTCCCATAACAGTTGTTACATTTTCAGCTGCTCTGAGTCAAACCATCCAAACTAACTGCAAAAGCTGTTCCCCTCTTTCATGTTGTTTTCTTCAGGGGTTCTTGGTGCAGCGCCCCCACAGGCGAGGAGGGGAACAGGTTGCCCAAAGAGTTTGGTTGGTTTGACTCCAGAGCACCACAGCAGCTGAAAATGTAGGAAATGTTGACATTTTGTTCCCAAATCAAACCGAGTCAACCGGACTGTCAGGTGTAAAAACTGTCCTGTTTTTGGATTGTGGGAGGAAACCGGAAAACCCGTGGAGGAACGCAGGCCAGGATTCAAACCCAGAACCTTGTTACTGCAAGGCATCAGTGATACCTATTAATTTATTACATTACTGTGATTATTAGTTTAGTTATTGATTCTAGATTCAGTATTACCATTTATTTTCCAACAGGAGACATATTTTTATAGTATATTTTTAATATAGTTTGTATCTTTGTAACAAATAGATTTACTCATAAGACTTAAAAATTACAGTGGAAACTTGTTAAATTAGCTGGAGCGGCCATTTATGTGTTAATAAACTATCTGTCAGTCCACAATTACAAAGGAAGAGTCGGAAAAATTACGATTTAATCATTGAAATCTTACAGATTTCCTCATCAGTGAAGCTACAGAGGATCATCTGAACCGCGGTTCTGCTCAGTTCTGATGCGAGCTTCTTTATTTAGCCCGTTCCCTTCCAGAGGCTGACAGTTTGGGTTCAGTCTCAGCTCCATGTCGTCTCATTTTATTCTTGAAGCGCGTCTCCCTCAGGAGTTACAGACCAAAAATAGAAGCAGAAAAACCTCAGCTTATAGTTTTACATTCAGAAACTCAAACCTGAGACGTCACACGATTCAGTGAAACTTTCATTAAAACAATTAATCTGAGCTTCATTTCAGTCAGAAATAGGAAAATTATCCAAAAATTTTAAAAAATAAGAGAATGACATTTTACTTTACTTTTTACTTAGACGTCTAAAAAATGTACTCAATAAGAGTAAAAAAGTATTTGGCAAGAAGGCAACTGAAGTACTTACTAACTGAATAAAACGTAAATCATTTGATATTAAAAAATTCTCCCTGACGATGGCTAGCATTGGTTTTACTGTCAAGTTGTCAACATAACATGCTAACTCTTAAACGGAGAGAAGAAAAACGGATGCAGTGCTTTGCTGTTACTTGTTAACAAGACAAGAAC